GCGATTTCCTCCTGCCCGAAAAAGAGCTTTTGAAAACCTTCAGAACCAGGATTTATGATTCCAGCAACAGAAGGCGTTTCACGTCCTGTAAAAGCAAATCATCTTTTACATCAAAACTTGATCGCAACCAACTAAAACTTGACAATGTAGATTGTTATATTACCACAGAGAAAGTCGAAATCGAGCATTCGTTGAACAGGAAGCTGCTTATAGTTGTAGAACAAAGCTTGTGTAGTCCGAGAAAAAAGCTGTCCCGTTGCCATAGCTCAATAGAAAAACTGAGAATCACAACAAACAAAGAGACAATGATCAGATCCACAAGCTATTTCAATGTTGAGAACCTGAATCAAAGTCGAAATTAGGCTACTTTACACTTAATTCGATTCCAAATTTCTTAATCACTAAGAAACAGATCTCATTACTACATTAACGAATCTAAGATTGAGAAAAAATAAAAAAAAGTTTCGATTTTTACGCAACCCTCCTCGTAAATATCGAAACTTTGGTATCAAAAACACGAATCGGAATCAAGACAGATCTAAAAAAAAAGGTAACGAATTGTTCGATCCAAATCAAGACGAGAACAGACCTGGTCACGACCCGAGTCGAGTCAGTGATGAGGGAGAGAATAAAAATGGAAGCAGAGAGAGAGAGAGAGAGGAATGGATTAGAGGAGAAGCAGCATTAATATAGAGAAATGGGAGGGAAACAAAAGCTTCTCATCGCAGTGATGGTCATGTGGCTTTAGTTATATTGGTAGGTAGTTAGTTCACAACTTCTTTCTACCCAAAATTGATTTCTCTATCTACATTGACAAAGAAAAACAACACCTAACAGTTTATACAAATTTGTTTGTAACCTCATTTGTTTTTTTTTTTTCGCAGAACACCATTTTATTAAGACATCGGTCGAAGAACCTCATTTGTAACCTCGTGGGTACGGATATTGTTACAATGCGGGATATATCTGATATGAAATGATGGAAAGAAAATGTATGAAAAAAAAATGAGATTGGTTTATTACAAAGAAATTGATTTCTCTATCTATAAAGAAAAACAAAACAACAGTTTATACAAATTTGTTTGTAACATCATTTGTTTTATTTAATTGCAAATTTAGTTTGCTTTAAGACGTGATGGTCGTTAAAATGTCGTCCTTGCTGGTAGTGAGTGTTAATGGGTTGTTTTGTCTTCAAGATTCAGCAACGTTTTGGTTCAACATTGTTTAATGTTTTCTTGAAGTATTTGAAAAGTTAGAAAGTGTTACTAGTTATTCTATGATATATTATCACAAACATAAATAAATGTAACGAAAAATGACTTTACGAAGAAATGAATACTTGTAGAGAATGATAGAAAGAGAGGAGTCTTTGTCTTTATACTTTGTTATGGAAGTGAGTCAAGTGGTGGTGAATCAATTACAATAGAACTTACGTTCGTATATATACAAGTAAAGTGATAAAGATTTATTGTGCATATATAGATGAGCTCCACACGAATATGACACCTTCTCTGGCTCGATCTAGAACGTTATCATACTAAGATCATGTTTTCGGGATGTACCATCATACGAATGAGATATGCAACCACAACAATTGTGATGAAACCTCAAGACTGCGTAAAATTATCATTCCAATAATTCTCTAAAGCTTAAATTAGGAAATTAGAGAAAAATTAGAGAATTATCAGAATGATAGTTTTACGCCGTCTTGAGGTTTCAACTTTCATGACCATTGTTGTAGTTGCATATCTCATTCGCCTCTATGAAACGGATATATTCGACGAATTGTTTCAGTTTAAGGAGGCAACTTTTTTGAAACTGGCTGACATATCACTAGAGCTAAAAATTCATCTCGAACATATGTGAAATATTTGAATTTTATGATTAATGATAATTAATATATTATTCTATACATCAAATATATATTACATTTATAGACATTTACAGCACTTAAAATCATTTAAACCCTTAAGAGTTTAAAATACTTCATGTTGAAAAAGATAGAAAACCTCATAATTGTCATTTGATTAGGGTCTTGAATGCTATACCACTTGTTGACGTTTTCTTCAAAACGTGATTCCGCTATTTTTACCATTCAAAATATTTATCATCAAGTTTTTATGTTTTCACGTTTTGAAAAAATGATTCCACTAACTACTAACATATTAAAAATGTAATTAACTAAAAAACAAAATGTAATCTACTAAAACTAGCTTTTTACCATTTTATAGTCATTCTACATAAACTTTTTTTAGTTCATTTCTAGCAATTATTTAGGGTTTGATTGGTTCTCCCGCTAGCACCCGTCTAGCGGTTGCTAGCGGTCGGTTGCGGTTGTTAGCGGTTGGTATCAATCATAGAAATCGCTCCATACCGCTTCGAACCGCTCCAAATCGTTGGATTCAAAAGCTCTTTTCCGCAAGCGTTTGCGGTTGGATTAAAAAACGTTTACTTATAATTATTAGAATATATATTAATCCTATACTTATAATCTTGTATTAAAATTTCTTTATTTTTGAATAATTATTTAGTACTTTATTTATGGTTTTAATTATTAAGCATGTTCAATTTTTTTAATATTATCATAATAATATATTGGTGTTTTTATTTTTATTTTTTAGTAATATTTCTTATTTATTTTAGTCATTTTTTTATTTAACTGCTACCGCACCCGCTGGTTTACCAGTCATAAAACTCCCGCAAACGCATCCATTTTCAAACGCTAAACCAGTCGTTCAAAACGCTTAGTAACGCTTGAAGCCGCAACCGCCCGCTTCCGCAAATTCCCGCAACCGCAACCGCAACCGCTGCGTTTAAACCAGTCAAACCCTTAGTTATTCAGTTATTCATCTAACATACCAATTAAACCTATTAGAAAGAGAAAACTCTAAATTAAAGGGTAAGGACTTGACTGGTATGTGAGATGAATAATAACTGAATAATAAAATAGCGGAATTACTAGGAATAAACTTAACAAGCCAAAAAGCTAGTACTTAATAAATGAATAACGTTTTATCTAAACTAGTTATAAATTTAACATGTGCATAATAAATTGGAAAATATCTTACTAATTTCACGTTTTATCATATCGTGTTTATTATATATGGTATGTACTCGGCAAAATCACGATTTGAAAAGATAAAACGTGAAAAAGATAAATATCATTCAATCCTAATGTTATTTTGAATTATCCATAAAATTACAAATTTGACACAAAAATCATGAATCAAAGCAATTTTTATCGGTCGGGTCTACTTCCCCAATTGATCATACTCAAAACATATTACTTCCCCACTTTTTTGCTTCAATTTAGATTACTTCACCAATACTCTCATTTACATGTAAGATACCAAAAATCTTCTTTGGGTCAACCACTGAAAATCATTTAACGTTATATGAAAATATTGAAAACAAGAACAAAAGCAATTGTAACAGATCGAATGTAGTGCAATTTATATCACAAACTAAGAAATTTATATAATATTATTTTTAAAATTGCATTAAACACATAAAAACAAGATTTTAAGCTTATATTTATTATTTTTATACAAATTACGAATATAAGTAGGACGTTTTGAAGTCCTATGAGTTTTCAGTTTTGGAGCTTCTAAACGGAGAAACACTACTTTAGCTTTTGGGATTCGTACTGATCGTACTGTCCCGCGTACTAATCGACGATTCCGCGTACTGATCGATGATTTCTCGGTAGCGATAGATTTTTCTCGACGATTCCACGGCCGGATAGGCGATCTCTCGGTAGCGATGGATTTTTATCGACGATTCCAAGTCCGGACCGGGGATCTCTCCGTAGCGATAGATTTTTCTCGACGATTCCAAGTCTGGATCGAGGATTTCTCGGACTCTAAGCAAAACAGAGAAAAGAAAAGGAAAAAATAGGTAGGAAAACATGTTACAGGAATGAAGTTACTGAAGTCATACCTTCTCGCTCTACGCATACATGGTAAGGGCAAGGACAGACTGGACATCGGTCTGGTACTTCTGCAAACATAGCTAAAACGTTATATCATATCGTTTTATCTAAACTAGTTATAAATTTAACATGTGCATAATAAATTGGAAAATATCTTACTAATTTCACTTTTTATCATATCGTGTTTATTATTATATATGGTACGTACTCGGCAAAATCACGATTTGAAAAGATAAAACGTGAAAAAGATACATATCATTCAATCCTAATGTTATTTTGAATTATCCATAAAATTACAAATTTGACACAAAAATCGTGAATCAAAGCAATTTTTTATCGGTCGGGTCTACTTCCCCATTATATTTAGTATAACCTATGGTTTATGTTACCATCGTGTTTGTATTAATATTATGAACAATAATTACTTCAATTTACAAATATAAGACAAATCGATGTATTTAATGACTTGGTGTACAAGTTAGTGTACAAAACTATGTTTAAAATGCTGGTGTACGAGATTTGTAGCAGAATATATACAAGTCATTTTTTTAAAGATTCTTTAAAAAAAAGAAAACCAAAAAAATTAAGAAAAAAAAATGATATAGTATAATTTGATCAAATAACATAAAATATTTGAATCCACACAAAAAACTAACTCACAAAAGACAATGGGTAAAGTGGTATTTGACTTCTTTCTTGTCTTTTAGTCTATTACACACAACTTCTATTTCACAAAAGAAAGAAAAGTGTCTATTTCATAAATTTCTAAAAAAAACTACCTATTTCTCAAATTACTTTTATAAAAATGTCTACTTTGCTAAAAAGCCCTTACGCTTTTCTACTTATGTAAAGTATATATTGTCATTTACTTCTCTAGAATACCCTAGCTAATCTTGTATGTGTATATGTATTTGTGTTCTGGGAATCAATACCAATTATCCTTTGAACATACATTCATATCTACTTCCACAATTGATCATATTCAAAACATATTACTTCCCCACTTTTTGCTTCAATTTAGATTACTTCACCAATACTCTCATTTACATGTAAGATACCAAAAATCTTCTTTGGGTCAACCACTGAAAATCATTTAACGTTATATGAAAATATTGAAAACAAGAACAAAAGCAATTGTAACAGAGAATGTAGTGCGAAGAAACAATTCAATATAAAAGATTACAAAGTAGAAAAATTACCACAGTAAAAACAACCCACTAATGCACAAATCTCATGTCTTAAAGGACGCGATTGGTTGTAGAGAATCACAACTCAATTTCCACGGTCTACGTCTACAATCTCCAACCGCTATTTCCGCGTTTGCGTTCTGATCATCACCGCAATCGCCACCACCACCATTCTGCGTCTGCTTTAAACTCGTCGTAGCAATCATATTCTCTAAATCGCTAACGTAACTCGAAAGCCAAATCTTCTCCGACTTAAGAACCGCGTTCTCCGATTCGACCGAGTCAAGCCTCTGTTTCACAACACGACATCTCTCGCTGTTCTCTTTGATTCGTCGTTCAAGACTCGAGATCTCATGAATCGTGTCTTCCATTAACTTTTGTTTCTTCAAACGCGATCTCCTAGCTGATTCGCGGTTAGATAATTTGCGTTTTCTTTTCTTCTCATCTATGTCGGAACCTGAACTTGTCCTCTCTGCGTTTGCCATGTTTTGTTACAAATAAAAAAAAAATCTGTTTTAAGAGATAACGTAAAACCAGTGAAGAATCACAACGGATATAGAATGATAAACAAGGAATCGTGAAAATTGGTTGAGATTAATCATTTCATAACTCTCTCCATTGTCATTTCATAACTCAAGAACTTCAAGAAAAGAAGAAAAAGAATTTCAAGAATCTGTGATTTGACGAAGATCTTGAGAAATTAAACAATAAGATATTTATGATTAGGTGTGATTAGTTAGAAGAGAAATAGAACAAGCAAGAAGATAAGGATAAGATCGAAAATAAGGAAAGTGGGAAAGTTGTTCGTCTTAGGTTGCTCTTATTTATAGATTACATTAAAAAAAAAAATCTCGAAGGTCTTTTATTTTTACACTAGGATATGACCCGCGGTACACCGCGGGTTAATTATTTGAGTTTTTTTTTTATCTTTTTATAAATTGATGTTTTTGTTTTGTATAATATTTTTTGTTGTACATCGCAGATCATATGTGTTGTATCTAAAAAATAAAAATTTTAAGTTGTATTTGTTTTGTTTAGTGTTTAAGATTGTATAATTGTATTTTGATTTGTTAATTTTAGGATTTCACCCGTGGTATATTGTCTCATATTAATATCGACCCAAATCCATCCCACCATATAATCCCGTCATGTGAAATTAAACATCATTTTGTTATTTTTAATAACAATTTTATTTAAAAGATATATAATTCGAGTCAATTTAAAAATTTGCTTTCAAATAGTTTTCATAATATATATATATATATATATTTTAATTCGTGTGTGTTTTTGGACCAACCTGTAAAAATAATTTATAATTGTATCTTAAAATACTAATTGTATGAAGAAAAAAAAATACTAATTGTATTTTGATTTGTTAATTTTAAGATTTCACCTTTGGTATATTGTCCCATTTTAGATAATTGTAGAAGTCAAAGAAAGATCCGAATGACTCGATTTCGGGTCAGAATAAAAAAACGACCTGATTAAATGCACAATTTGTTCTTCAAAATTTTAATATAGATTACACACATATTTTTTTCTTCATCGATTAAGTAATATATATCCGTTTTAAAAAATTTGAATCATAACATATGTAGAAAAAAAAACTAAAATTTATTAACTATATATATTTTATAATAATTCAAAATAATATAATATAAAATCAAATAAAAGTGAAATGAGAATCATATATTATGTTTAAATTAGGTATAGATGTTTTAGGAAATTAGCTCAAATTTGTTATATTAGCATTAAATCATCATATTTGATTTTTTTTTTTAACGTCGTTCATTGAATATCAAAATAAAAGCAGAGTTTAGATATTTGATTTTCTTATCTATAAAAACCGTAAAGAATATACCATAAATAAAGAGTTTAGATATAGTAATTAGTTGAGAAAATATATATTTTAGATTTTATTAATTAATTTCGTTTTTGAATTTAGCTAAAATTTAAGGAAAGATCCGATTGAAGATTTTCGGGTCAAAATTAAAAAAAAAAAAACCCGATCCGATTAGAGGAGCAAAAATGTATTTCAAAAATGTTAAGTAGATTAAATACTTCTTGAAACAAAAATTAATTTACCACTAGGTCCGGACCCGCACATACGTGCGGGGTTTTATATTATAAGTTTTTTGTTATCTAAATTATATAATCAAAACATTTGTATTTATTTAGTATGTAATTTAATGGTTGTATTTTTTTTGTTTTGTTAATTAGGTAAAAGAATATATACAATTCAATTAGAAACTTGATTTGAGAATTTTTATAGTGTTTTAAATAGAATTTGGTACAGTGTTTTTTTTTTCATTGTTTTGAAAGTTTGAATAGAAATATAAGTAATTATACAATATTTTTGATTTGGTGAAAGATTGGACTGGTTTGGTTTGGTTTTGTTGTAATATATGTAAATTTGTATTATTGGTGTGTAAATTGTAAGATTGAATATTGAGTAATTAAAATAATAGATTATTTTTATACAAATGTAATATAATATGTTTGGTGCATAAAATATATTGTTTGAGACTTTATGCAATATTAATTAGTGTATATAGATGATTGATCCAACTTTAAAAATTTAGGCCCATGAGTCAAAGAATCAGAGGTAATATAGAGTTGGGCCGCAGAAATTATTATAGACCCATTATGAAATGTTCTTTAATTCAGCCCATGATTCCGTTTTTTTTTTATTTTATTAAAGTTTTTACTCTCTTTTTTTCTTTGGACAGCTAAATATCTAAGACGACATTTTTTGTCTTTTCGGTGGAAAATAAGAAACCCTATGTTCTTCAAAGTCTAATGTTCGGTCTGAGAATCGCTGAGAAATTTGTTCAATCATCAACCTATTAGGTCTGTGTTTATGATCTTTCCATCTCGAAATCGGAATTCTTTATTGAGGTAATCTTTTTATTTATTCAGATTTAGATTACAAATTTATCTAAATTTATCGATTTGATTTAGGATTTTAGAAATTTCGAAATTGAACAGATATATTTGGCAATAACTTTGAAAAACCCAGACTTACATGAGTAAGGATTGCCAATTATAGTCTGAAATTTTGATTTCAATTAATTTTATAAACAAATCGCAAATTGATTTGCAGTTTTTTGTTGTGTTTACCAAAAAAATCAATCTATCTTGTTAGATCTGCAAAGCCATAGAGTTTATAGTTTTTATAATTTCATTGTGTAAAGATTGTAACAAAAGATTTTGTTTCCTTAAAAGTTTTAACATTTTACTTGTGTTTAAATGGATTTCAGATTATTACAAAGATGATGATGTTGCCAATAGAAGACGTTTTACAAAGCTAAGTTCTCTGTTACGATTATTATATAACAATAGATGTTTTAAATATATATGGTGCTGATGATAGATAATTCTATGTTTACAGAACATGCAACATCTTTAAAGAAGGCAAATTTGATGTCGTTAAAAGCCAGTCCAGATTCTGAAAGCACTGATAAAGGTTAGTGAGGTCTAAATGATTCAACTTTGGTGTAATTTAATCCCAATATTTAGCTACTGTTAGTTGTTTAGTCATTTGATAAGTTTAAGATCTCTGTTTAGTCCATAGAAATTTAAAAATTTGTTATCTCTTTTTGAACTCTTGATTTTGTTATAAATTGATTTTGATAAATTTAGATCCACACTTAAATATGCACTTACCGTGATTGTTTTTCTAAAATAATTTTACTATATTCTCTGTTGACATGTATGTTAAATTCTGCAATTGGTTGATAAGATATTAAAGTAATACTACTTGTTTATATGAATTAACAGAATATTTAGATTCTGTATATGATTTTTGAATTAGTAAACATGTAATAGTTTACCTATTTCTACTTAATATGATGTAAATGTAAATGAAAACTTTTTTAAAACAAAGTTATGCTGATATTAATAATAGAAGTTTATGAATTTGTGTAAAAAGAGAATTGAGAGAAATACAGACCAAGTTTGGTAAAATAATTTCTTCAATGGAAGTCGTAGATTGAAGAGATTACTACCAAACTTAATAGAATGATTTTGGTTGCATCTACTAACATTACCTGATCAATAGATAGATCATTATGTTGGTGAGTCGGCTGGTCAGAATCTTCAATAGTATCTAGATTATCAAAATCATTACCCAGCCAAACAGTGGAAACCTTGTAGGTATCATCTGTTTCATTGATGTTTTCCTTTCCAACAGTCACCAGAAATTGGAAAGTCTTTCCAACCAAATCTTTGATTGGCTGAGGCAAGTTTGTTGGATCCTGAATCTGTTATCACAATAGCACCATTATTTTTTAGATATAGGACAAATATTATCTACATAACTTACACATGATTAGATGTTTACCTCATCCCAGTTTCCTTCAAGCAGATCTTCAGCAGACACACCAATGATCTCTTGTGCATTTTTATCAAAGATCAGAAAATTGGTGTCACCAGTGCTATCCATAACTCCCACGTTTAAAAGGTACCTACATATAAAAAGATTTTCATAATAAATTTGATAGATATTTATTAACTAACATATAGCTATGTAATCAAATGGGAAATTGTTACCTTGGAACCACCTTAGGAGTGTCTTCCTTACATGTTGGACACCAAAACATTTCTTTCTTACCTTTCTTGGCAATCTCATTTTCAACTTTTGGTATCTTATAGGCAGTTTTGTGACACTTCAGACAACAAAAGAAATACCACGAGTAGTCTGTGTCGATCTTCATTATGGTAACAATTATGTTGCATTTCCCAATCTACACATAATAATAGAGAATTAGTATTTCAAAAATAGTTATTACCAATAGAGGCAATTAGTATTAATTTAAACTATTACCTCAGAAAAACAAAAGAGTCCAGAGATGGTTTTCCTTGGAAAACGATCATAGTATTCCTTTTTTTTCATCAGCTGATTCCCATGTTTTGGCTTAGCTTCTTGGATAGCCAGAGGCATAGCATCAGGGGGTAAACTACATGACAATAAAAAAAAAACATAATCAATTTATCATAATATCAATAGTATATTAAATTTAATTATTTTCAAAAACAATATTAAGTTTGCTCCTATCTTACTTGGCCACAAATTCAAGAACAGCAGGGTAGGTAGCATTGATTTCCAAGAGAGACATGTCAAATGCATTTGAAACTGATCTTTCACCTAACAAAGTGAATATTATTAGTATAAATATATTCTGTGATCTGCCTTTAAAAATCCCAAAAATGCTTCATCAAAAACCTTTTATACCTTTGAATGAATTGATCTTAGCAAGACGAAGTAAGGCAATAACCCTCTCAGTCCCTGCATTTTGACATGCATTCCACATTGCCTCAACAAATCTCCCCCATAGAGTACACTTCAGCCTCTCATCACTATATAAGAAAATAAGTTGTGAGATAATTGTTAGTACAAATAACATAATATATATTGTAATAGGGTAAAGCCATATGAAATTACTTTGTGTCTCTGAGTTCAAGATCAAGTTTCTTTGTGATCTTGTTGTAACATCAGAAGTTTTCATCTCAGTGGAAACTTACACCCTGTCCAAGTACATCTGCAAAATTAAGGTTTCAAATCTTGGTCATTGATGAATATCTATTATGTAAAATATGCAAAGAATTATAACATTGAATGTAAGAAAGATATATTACCAATTAAGATGTTTTCATTCATCCTCCTTCATCCAAACTTCTTGAAAGTTTGCCAGATCCAAATAAATGTCATCAGAAAGAGGAGGAGTGCGACTTATTACAGTTTTTTGCATCATGGACATTTTGAAACCATGTTTAGTTGCACAGTATTTTCCTGTTGACTTGGCTAGTGTAAATTTCTCGATAATACGCCACTCCCCAGAGGTAATGAACCTTTGCAGTTTGTTCACTTGTTGCTTCTTAATGGTAGCATGGATCAAAGTACATGGATATTTAAAAATAAATCATGTTAAACATAAAAAACTATGGTGTATATATGATACACGATTATTTGTATATAAGAATGATATAGTTACTTACAGATGTATCAGCAAGAATCATTTCGACAGTTTCTCCAGTGTATTGAGTGTACTGAGTCCACGTATGGACAATTTTAACTTGAATTCTCCATTCTGTTTTGAAAGGCTTGACGTCAGCAAGGTTGGTGAATGCAAGCTCAGCAGCCATTTTCTTAGTGGGATTGTGAAGAGAAAAGGTGAAAGCTTAAGAAGGTGAGTTTAACATAACCTTGGATCATCTATTTATACTACTCGAAAGTCAAACAACATTTTTCTAGGATATATAGAATTATCGGGTTTTATGATAAATGCAATCCGAATATTTACGGTATATTCTGTGATATTAGGCTATTTTTAAGGTATATAGTGTGATTTTTTTGGGTATAATTTTGAATAAATATGGATTTGAAAAGATTTTATGATTTTAAATATATAGAATAAAAAAGGAAGCCTATTGTTTGGGTTGTTATATAGAATAAATGAATATGCGGATTTTAAGTTTAGTATCTTTGATTTTAGTTATAAATATAGCAACTATATATTGATTTTATCAGATTTGGTCATATTCATAAATTATATCGAATTTAATTGGATTAAGTTTATCCTTAATCAACGAAATATTTGGGATTTGGGTTGTTACAATAAATAAATGAATATGCGGATTTTAAGTTTAGTATCTTTGATTTTAGTTATAAATATAGCAACTATATATTGATTTTATCAGATTTGGTCATATTCATAAATTATATCGAATTTAATTGGATTAAGTTTATCCTTAATCAACGAAATATTTGGGATTTGGGTTGTTACAATAAATAAATGAATATGCGGATTTTAAGTTTAGCTTCATATAGAAATAGATGTGATGACGTTTTATGTAATTCAATTTTTGTTTAATGTCTGTAGGTATCACGGGCCAATAAACTGAAAGCCCATTATGCTTTAAATGGTTGGATCCGTGTGTATTATAAAATATTGGCCCGTGATCCACATGAGTAACCAGATAGATATCCGAGTAATTATCCAAGATCCGCGTCCCTTTGATTGTCAAAAGTCGAATATACCCCTCTTTGTCATTTTTGGTATTCACGTGAAATCCTTAAATTGTAATGGCATTCTTTATAATTTTTTACACTTTTTAAGGTTATTTTTCAGGTAATCCTTCCCAATTAATAGAATAGATTAGAAAAGATTATCCAAAATTGTATAAAAAAAAGGAAGATTCATCGAATATGACGAATAGGAAAAGAAAGAGAATTTTTGGTCAAACATAATATTTGATTTTTTTTTTTTACTTTTTTGGTTATTGTGTTTTTTTTTTTTTATTAGGACATAACAGCTAAATAGGTGTTGGTGTTGTTCCTTAATAGGTAGACCAGTAATTACTATTTTTTGCTTTTTTGCATTTAAATTGTTGGTTTGTTGTGTATTTAGTTGTCACAGTCGTATGATAATTCTAGAAATATCCAACGAAAACTAGATTCTGTAACTTTCTAATTATGTGTACTTGTCCAAATTTAATTCCTCGTTTTATACTAAGTTCCTTTTTTGCAACTCCAATGAAAATCGAACATGATTGTCTAAAATCAGAACACTGTGAAAAAGTACGCAACTGGATCAGTTCATGTGAGTGGGTACGTAATGTTGTAATAAATAGCAAAAGTCTTAGTTCGATTTTAACTATTAAGAACAAATATTATGTTTTTTTTTTACCCTTGTTAATGGGACAAAACCATTTTAATTGTTAATGGGAGAAAATACCCCATTTAGAAAGAATCATACGTACGTAATCTAAATCGTCAATGAAACACGAAGTTCTTCTGGAATTGGACAGGTTTAAACGTGGAGCAATGACGACTATTTTAGTATTTTCAATTTTGTGGATTTAGAGATTACGCTTAACATGGTTGACAATTTTAATATTAAAGAAAATTATCCATCTTAAAAGCAAAATTCCATTTGATTTTACTTTTGTGCGGGTCTTATCTCAAATGACTTTCAAATGAGAAAATAAAGAAAATAAAGTAAACTAATAAAAAGAGACTGTATATATTGGTAAACCATACTTTCTTTTCAAATGAAAAAATACAAAACAATAGAAGATGGCGATAATCATAATATATAGTTGAAAATACAGCATCCTTATCCGCTCACTGATTCTCTATATATCATTTTTTATTTATCAGATAAAATAAAATATTTCTATATCATTATTTAAAACACAAAAATAGATGCACTTCATTGGTCGGCTAGTTTTTTTTTTTTTTTCTCAAAAGTTTTATTATATTCTACAGCAAATATTACATGAGCCGGCAGAACTCAAACCTCCAGAAGTAAAACCGAGAAAACGAGAATATCTCGGAAAAGCATACGCAGATACCAGAAACTAAACCAACGTACGAAAGCAAAGGCCAAACATTTAAGCCCGAAAGTAAGTAACCACACTTCACCCACATAATTTTCTAATTTCTGGAAAGCCTAAACCAAACTGCAAGTCGGAAAAACAATTAACGACAAGTAAATCCTCCTATAGCGAATAAAAACTACCTCACAACCTATGCGCTCTTGGGCTTCTAATCCAGCAAGATGGATTCAAGACAAAAATGTCTAGATCCTCACACTTCTCCCGGAAACGACGATGTCGAAAGAACCACGACTTTTAAACGTCTCGGTAGAAACCTTTAAATTGAGCAGATCTTGATCAGATCTTTTGAGTAGAGACAAGGAGCGACCATAAATCCAACCGGGTCACACCGAACTCACACAAGCACGACAAGAGATCGAACCGGAGAGACACTAGGCAAAATCCAGCAACAAAGAAAAATACAGACAAGCACTTGTTTAGGTTCTACGGCTCTTTTGTCTAGCTCCTAGTCAATCTTGATATTTGGGGTTTTGAACAAAGAAAAAATGAAAACAAAAGTATAAAACCAGAAACGACCTAAGTACATTGAAATACTGTTTATTGTTATTTTATTTTAAGTATTTATAACGTAGCAAAATAAAATTAAAAATTTAATCTTCTTTTTTTTTTTTTTGTCAAACAGCTGAATTTCATTAAACCGGAATCGGTACAATTACAGATGCTGGTACAATAAATGCAGAATTTAAGGCAGATTTTGCAAGTGCATCTGCACAACCGTTTTTCTCTCTAGAAACAAAAGAGAAAGAAATTTTGTCGAAATCTGAAGATAGAGCAAGGATATCTTGAAGAATCCCATAGAGTTCCTTTGGGGAGGACTCTGAATTAAGAGCTTTGATCAATAGTTGCGAATCTGAAGCGAAAGAAACATTCCTAAAACCGTGTTCTAGAGCATGAATTTGAGCCAAGGAGAGAGCCATGGCTTCAGCCAGGAGAGGAGACCCGACATTTGCGGCAGAAGAAGAACCTTGGTGCGCCAGATTGGAGAGGCGATTCGAGAAGATCCAGCCAAATCCCGCATCATGAGAGTCCTTCCTCCAAGCCGCAATGCCAACCAGCATGAAAAATTCATCATGGATTTTAAAAATTTAATCTAAGTAGCAGATTTGCCACCATTGATTTTTAAAAGACAGCTTAAAATCCATGATGAATTTTTCAACACGGAACCACCAAAAATTAGGTCATAAACTATTTTTTTATTAGTTGATTCTTAGTAATTCCTATATATCTACAAAAAAAATTATTTATTACTTATGAGTATGGCACCCATCTTAAAAAATTCATAAGAATTATCGTCTTCGACTAAGTTTTGCATACGCACATTTATATAATCCTTTAATGTGTTCTGATAATTGCTGATCCAACAATTTGTATATTTTCGTAGTTATCACGATTCATGATGATGATTACATCATCCAGTTTTGTTAAGTAATTTGGCATTGCCTATTCTATGGATGACATCTGATAACAAGCTTGATAGTCTTATACCGAATTTATTCTCTGAAAAGAGAGTAGGGCATTCCGGGTAACAGTAGGGTAAGGTTGTAATGCCATGAACATATCCATGGGATTCCATGTCTATGTGGAAGGCAATCTTTTTAAATGAGTCGATATCTTGTTTGGGTAAGTGTTTGGAATAAAATGGAAAATTGGTTTTGATGGTATCAGTTGCTAAAACGATCGATTTTCAGTTTTCAAAAATAAAGATTTCATTTTAAATTTTAAAATTAACTTTTAGAAAGAAACGAACCTCTTTTACCGAGACATTGAAGCCAAAGGTGTTCCAGGCAGCAAGTCCTCAGAAGGAAGGCAGTAAGACCGTTGGTAAACTGCAGCCGTGTCAAAGTAAAACAGGTTAGTCTCTTGCTAAGATGTATTTGATTTGAAAAATTTAAAATGGCATCCTCATTTAGAAAACTGTTAAAATCCGGCCAATCATCAACTTCTAAATCAACAATAAATTCAAGAGAAATAATATCAAAAATATCAACATTTAATAAAGAAATATCAAGGGATTCCTTACCACATATTAATGCTGAATATATATATCAAATCGGAACATTTGATTTTAAAACAGCTTATTCAATAAAAGAACATGAACAAACAATATCTCTACAACATGAATTCGAAGAGATTAAATTATTATCATCAATAGCTCTAGATAAATATAAGCAAAAAGGATTCAACTATCTTCATTTCGGATTAGTTCAAATAGCAATAAAACCATTATCAAGAACATGAATTGATTCACCCATTTTAATGTTATTAAGAGACAAAACCCTTCTAAAATTTGAAGACTCACTTCTTGGTGTAGTACAATCAAATTTATGTAATGGGGCAGTCTACTTTAATTGCGCACCTAATTTTCAAGTTAGTCTTCATGATCCGACCATACTCAACACATTAGTGCTAAACGTGCATTTACCAGAAGTCAAATTCCAAAATGAACGGCATGGTTATCTACTCTTATACCGAATTTATTTTAAACAATCCAATTCAGAATTTAATCCAAGATGTTTACTACAAGATGATAAAGGAGAAACAACAATACTAGCTATGCATAGTAAAGATACTCCTAAGGCCGGTAAGGGTGGATTACAAAGGCCGGTAAGGAACACAATCCTTCCAGGAACTAAGTCGGCGACCAAATGATAACTCCCGGAGACAATGACGGAGAAACAAAGGGGAAAAAACCCAAAACAAGTAAAAACACAACATCTGAACCAAAGCTTCACAGACTCATCTTCCAAAGACTCAAAAATAAAATTACAAAGTCTAAATCATAGATAAAATTAACAGATCTGAGACTACAAACCCACAAACGGAAATAAATCCAAGAACGGCGGTGAGACAAATCCAACACCCCGAGACCCAAAGGAAAAGTCTCATGAAGAAAGGAAGGAGATCGAGAACTTCGAAGGTGAGAAGACTACATCTGAGGCGGTGAATGATCGATTAGAACCTGCCTCTGCCATGGCTAGAACGACCAGAACTGAAGCTGCAATTGAAAGAGACAAAAACAAGCAGCAAAATCCCAAAGGAGAAAAGATTTAGACTTTATAAATCTAGATCTGAAAATCTAGATCTGAAACCGTTGGAAGAAAAAGATTCAGACATGTTGGAAAGGAAGGTAAAACGAAACTAAAGCAAAGAAAAAACAAAGACCCCGGTTCCGGTGCTGAAAAAGCCACCGGAACCGTAACCCTAGACCACGGCGGCTACTTTTTTTTAGAGAGAAGAGGGAGCTTTTATTTTTAGAGAGAAGAGGAAATAATGTTACGCTTACATATCTACATCGATGATTTATGATTACAAGCATTTATAGTTACATTTTCTTTAATTGTTATTTATCATATATTTGTTTTTTTTTACGTCTTTGGATCGACAAGGCCCGATCTATAGCCAATCCCTACTACGCGGGATAACGCGATTTAGTGGAATCGAACTCCGGTGGGAAGGCGGAGTCAAGTGGACTTAGCCACTTGACTAAAGGCACATCCCTTATTTATCATATATTTGTTAATTAATAATGTTTACAATATCTTGTTTTCCAAATTAATAAAACTTAGCAATATGTAGTATATATATATATATATATGCCATATAGAAAAGCTTACTCACAATTTATTTTCTGTTGTAAATCACATATTGGATGAACTCCATAACCGTGGGCCTAATCCATGTTCTAGAAGGTCCGGCCTATGCGAGAGAGACTAGAGGCGGTTTAAGTTTAAGTGTTAGTGGACT